ACACACACACACACACACACACACACACACACACACACACACACACACCACAGCAAGGATTATAGTTCACTGGGATATTTTTTTTCTCTCCTTGTGATGCCTATGGATGTCACCGTGACCCCAAAGTGCACTCCCAGAACATGCGTTGGTAGAAGGATCCACCTGAACTCTTGGAACAGTCTCCTAGCTAGGCTGCCTGCTTCCTGCCCCCTCCTCTGTCACATCCTCCACATTGTCACCAGAAAGTCTCCTACCCTCTACCCTCATCCACCTGTTGTAAATTCCCCCCATGGCTCCTAGTGCCAGGGCATCCAAGCCTGCTCACCCTCCCTCCCTCCCTGTTCTCCCCCTCTCCCCTTTTCTTTGTTTCTTTTTGTTTTTTTGAGACAGGGTTTCTCTGTATAATTTTTGAGTTTGTCCTAGACCTTGCTCTGTAGACCAGGCTGGCCTCGAACTCACAGAGATCCACCTGCCTCTGCCTCCCGAGCGCTGGGATTACAGATGTGTGCGACCACCGCCCAACATGCTCATTCTCTCTTGTCATAGGGCATCACCCTTCATTCAAGACCTTGACATGAGACCTTACCCTAGTGAGGCCACAAGGAGTGGGAACCCCTCTTATGTACTGTCTTGCAATGGGTTCAAGGGTTCAGGGTCCTTGGTGAGTTAAGTCACTCAGCTCCTTGCACCCTGGGCCACCTTGGTTAAAATTAACATACCTGGCTTTGGGCCTTGTTTCTCTCCATCTCTCCTTTTAAAATAAGAGCTGGGGCTGGGGAGATGGCTCACTGAATAAAATGCTTAATAGGTGAATGTGAGGACCCAAGTTCGGATCCCCAGAACCCACATAAAAACTGCATGCAATAGCAGGGCATCTGTAATCGCAGTGTTCCAACAGCAAGATGCAGCGTGGAGACAGGTGAACCCTGATAAAAACTGGATGCTATAGTGGACATTGGTAGTCACAGAGCTGCAACAGCAAGATGGGACGTAGGACAGGTGAACCCTCAGAAGCTTGCGAGCCGGGTAGCACAAACAAGATAGAAGGTGAGGACTTTTCCTTTAACTAGCACACGAATGTTGCAGCATGCATGCACTGTGTCCATTCCCAAAGAAACACACACATTCATACACACAAAAGCAAAACAAACAGAAAGCAGAGCCTTGAGGTGTGCTTGATAGGGTGCATCCACAATCCTAGGCCTCAGGAATCTGAATCTGAGGCAGGAGGATCACCTGTTCCAGACTCTGGGCTTGCTTGTTCTAAACAAGCTAGCCAGCAACCAGCAAACAACAACAACAAAAACCAGACAGCCTTTGTCCTTGTTCACCTCTGGAGCCCAGGTCAGGGTGTTTCCTTCAAATGAATAATGGGTGCTAGGGTGTCGCAGTGGAGCAGCTTATGGGAAGCAGGGTCTGGGGGGGTTAGAATCAAAAAGGATGCCAAGTCGCCTCAAACCCCTCAATTAGGTGACAGGTTGAATCACTCCATTTTGTTAGAGCTCTCAGAGAGTCAAAACCTCTGCTGGGCATGGGGTTGGGGTTTATAGTGACTACGGAGCCCCTGGTTCCATCTTCTATACCCACTATGAGGAGGGCCACACTACTGCTTTTACTATTAGACAATGGCTCTCATTGTTCTGAGGTTCAGCCTATCATAAAAATATGTGACTCTACCTTCCCACTACACTAAGAACCCACAGCCTTGCTGTGTAGCCCAGGCTAGCCTTCACCTCATTCCCCCGAGTGCTGGGATGTAGGAGTGTGGCCTCCATCCAGCTCTCCCCATCCTTTCCTGGCATCCCCTTGGCTCATCCTAGCTCCTCTCTCCTCTCTACCTCATATAGGCCATTTCATCTGCTTCTGCCAGACCCACTGTCACTACAACAGCCAGTCACGACCACTTCCATCGGCGAATTCCCACACAACTGCCAAGATGACACCATCACCATGCGCCCAGCTTGCAAGCCACACATAGCTCCAGCTACCTAGAGCACAGTCCCAAAAGGACCCCGCGTGTCTTCTTCTGCTCCTTCTCCTTTGACTGAAGACACTCGGTTTGCTGGACTGCTGACTCCCACCCCAGGGCCTTTGTGTTTGCCGCCTCCCCTGCCAGGAACGTTTTTCCTTCAGTTTGCCTCATAGCCCATACATCTCCTCTGCCCCTTTCCTTCCCCTTTCCCTGCGGACATTTTCTTTATGGCATTTCTGGAGCCCTACCACCATTATGCCTATGAGTCTTCTGTCTGCCCTACATCTGCACAAACACAAGGCTTTCTCCATCACCACTGTGCGTCCTGCTCCCGTGCAGAGCCTGGTATGGAGTGGGCCTTCACTTGCTGTCCAATGAATGAATGTAAGACCCCAGGTCCTTCCCACCTACCCTAAAGGCGCCACGCTCCCCAGTGGCTGACCCATCTCCCACCTCATCACCACTTTCTCTCTTTCATCTTGACATGGGTCTTCTCTTGATTGTAAACTTGAATAACAAAGACAATAGTAAACTTTTTGGACCGAGTGCCAGTCACCAACCTGAGGCATGGCGTTAGTTGGATTGTAAGCCCTGTGAATCCTTGTTGCTGACAAGCAAGTTCCCCTTTCCCAGTGTTCCTCTTCTCTGAGCTCCCTCCCGACCCACAAACTCTGAAGTAACCTCTCTACACTCAGTGGAGACAGCAACTTCCTGCTAGAAGCTTTCACAGAGTGCCCATGGAGGAGTGGTGACCCCATCAGTGCAATGGACCAGGTGGGTGTGCTCTCTGTCTGACCCATGACATGCAGCTCCTGGAAGGGGGGCAATCTTCTCCCCTGGTAGAGCATCTGAAATACCCAGCCCCTGCCCTGTACCCGCTCCCACCCTCCTGACAGTGCAGCATCCTTGTCCGCCTTCTGCAGGCTGGGTTCACTGGGGCAGGGCCGCTAGGTAGCACAGGGCAGACCTGGATTCAAGTATAGTGTGAGAGGTTTGCCCCAGCTACAGGCTGGATAGTGACACACAGGCCCCATTCCACCTCTCGTAGCCTTGGCTGCTTGCTTTATGGTCTGTTTAGTGGAATCAGAAGTACCGGGAGATGAACTCCCTAGGACTGAGCAGAAGGGCCCAGCTGAGACTCTGACCCAGGAACATGGAACATAAATGTTGGCACCTGGAGGAAGCCTTGCTGTGAACAGCTGAAGCTAGGGACTCGAGTGTGGGCCACAGGAGGGAACTGTTAGGAACTCCTGCCACACACATAAATCCACGCACACCCACCCCACAGATGCGTAGAGACTGAGACACACACACACACACACATATGCTCCAGCTTGAGTCAAGGGTCCTGTGTGTAGATTACACAGCTCTGGGTCTGCCTTGTTCTCTGGAAAGCCCAGGGTATGAAGCCGTAAGTGGAATGAGAAAAAAAGCAACTAGTCCCATAAACTAGGCCTCTCTTGTCTCAGGGCACCTGAATCTCAGGCCACCCAGGCCCTGGAAGCCCTCTGGCACCCTACACCTTACACCCAGGTAGGTTCATTCCACCTACAATCCCCTAGTTGCAGCTTGGTGCACCCCGTGGTCTCTGCTCCAGCTCACTGTGACCGATGAGACCCTGCAAATCCAGCTCAGAGCAACTCAGGCCCCTCAGAGCCCCAGGAAGCCAGGCCTGACTCTGAGAGGAGATGTTTCACCAAGCTGTTCATAGAGCCTGGTCCCCTGTTCAGAGGCCCCTGCTTACCTTCAAGAGCGGAAGGCAGATGCAAGGCCTGCAAACAGGCCTGGAAGCCTCTGTTTATCCAGGCCAAGGTCTTTCCACCCCCAACTGACCAGCCTAGGCTGGATCAATGGCCTGGAGCCATGGCTTGGGTGTCTGGCCCTTGTCCCCTGTGGCCTGTGGCCCCAAGCTCCATGGGCCTCCAGTCAGGTCCAGGGCAACAATGTAACTGAACACAGGTAAACATGCAGGAGGCAGGAGGTAAGCAGTGCCCGCCTACCCAGCCCCGCCCTGGCCCATGGGTACTGGAGAGCGCAGGCAGAGGCAAGAGACCTGAGCTCTCCCCCGGGGCCTGTTGCTTGGTGACATTCCTGCCTTGTTACAGCCCCTGGTCCCCCAAGAGCATGAGTGGGAACGGATTCTGCTAGGGGATTGCAGAGGCCCATTCAGGTGAGAACAGGGGCTCACACATCCTACACTAGCCTGAAAGACCTGGGTTCATACCTTATGGAGACAGAGAAGTGGTGTGCGTGGCGGGGTTGGGGGGTGGGGGAGAGGTTGACACTCTCTTCCATTGACCTAGAAATTATCTATTCTACGAAGCCCTGTTGCCCAAAGCAGTGCCCACTGTGGTCCTTGGACATGGCTAAAGTCATTATGAACTGAGAGAAGGCTCATAAGTAATATACACCCCAGATTTCCCAGATCCCAAGTGAGCAAAAAAAAAAAAATGTCAGTTATCTCATTGATCATGAATAATGGTTGTAGATTGAAATTCTCTCTTGGGTTAGATGAAATGCGCAGGAATGAATCCTGCTGCTTCTTTGCATTTTGATGCACATCTAGGAAATGGAAGCTGCATGTGAGACTCATGAAGAATTCTGCAGAACAGTGCTGCCGCAGAGAGGGTGGGTCTCACCCAAACATTTCCTCAAATCACATGATACAAGCCAGGGTTTCTTGCAGAGAGTTCTATTTGTATCTGCGGTCCAGTGTGCTGTGGACATGTGGTTCCCAGGGTGTGTGTGTATACACACGTGCATGCACAGGTGCACACCAGGCATATATGTGCATTGTGGAATGGATGTGTGGGTAGATGATGTATGTATGTCTGGGAGCATGTGAAAAATATCTGCATAAAGGGCGTGTCTGTAGTGTGGAGTGTGTCTTTGTAAAGCACGGGGGATCTCTGCATACATGGGTGTGGGCATGTTCACAGTGTGATGGCCACAGTGTGTGAGGGGGGGCTGTGAGGCACATGTGGTGTGATAGAGGCACACATGTATGTGACGTGTATGGTGTGCAAGGCTGTGGCGTGGGAGGGCGTGGCGTGGGAAGCTATGGGGTGTAAAACAAGTGTGGAGAGTGTGAACACACACCCACTCTGTGAGGCCAGCTGCATGCTCAGTGGATATGTATGGTCCCTTTTGTGATAGAGGAACCAGGGCAGGTCCCTGGGTCTGAGTTATGAACCCTTTGTGATTAATTGCAGCCCAACAGGAAAATGGCTGGCATGTGAAAGCCCAGCCTTGTGGGGGTGGAGAGGCACGACTGGCTATTGTTCAAAAGGATGGTAGCTCTTCTGACTGTCCCCCGATCCTTGTTTCTATCTGGGTCCTTGCCCCCACTTATGGGTGCGACCCTTGACTCTGTCTATGAGTCATTCATCCTCAATCCAGTTCATTCTCCCTCCTCTCACCCCAGTCTCCAGATTCCATCTTGCAAATCTTCCAAGGGGCAAGAACTTAGGATGGGAACAGGATCCACATACCAATAGAACACAGTCACCCTGAGCCCTTCTTCTATGCCATATCTTGTTCTCTCGAATGCCAAGTGGCCCGGGCCCTGGCCCAGGGAGGGTGGCAGCTGGGAGATCTAAGAAAGATCTTACACAATTGGTGGCCTCTGCACCTGGTGACCACAGGTATTGATCCACTCAGTCAAGGGGAGGGGCTGGCCCCAGGAGAGCAAGGGCCTCGGATCCCCAAGATCTCAGAGTCTAGATCTATGACTGAGGTGTCTGGCCCTTGTCCTGTGCTCTCTCTGCTTGTGCCCACAGCAGAGAAAATAGGGGCATACTTTCATATACTTCTATATACATAGGGAAATACTTTCATATACTTCTACATACATGCCATGAAGGCTTACTGCTCATGGAAATCTGTATGCCACAGCACTTCTGGCCCTCAGACTCCTGGGTCCTAGAGTCAGAGAGGCTGGGCTGCTATGGATTGAAAGCTAGGGGTACACCTGAGGGCAGATGTAGACACTGAAATGCCCAGCTTATTCAGGTGACAAATGTCAATCCAGAGGTTGGGACGTCAGGCTAGTTAAAATCCAAGTCTCCCCCTCTGCTGTTATCAAGGTATTGTCACCTCTCCAGGTGGCCATCTCAGGCTTGACAAAGCTGAGCTGTTGAGGGTAGAAAGTTATGAGGCGCAATATGACTGATGTCCTTGTGAAAAGGGGGCTTGGAGACAGATATGCATGTGTGTGTGCACGCATGCACAACACACACACACACACACACACACACACACTGCAAATGAAGGCAGAGACAAGGTCAGATGTTATCTCTACATCAAGGACACCACAGGTCGGCAACTATTGGATTTGGGGGAAAGGCCTAAAGTAGATTCTCCTCTGGCTCCAGGAGGCAGCAGCCCACTGGCCTGCAGCCTGAATCAATTGCAAGGCACGCTTTCCCAATGTCAAGAGCCTGTGCTGTCTTAACACCTCAGCAGACTCACCTAGACTTCACAAACCAGGATTGGGCATATGCTGTGCAATTTTTTAAATGGGTATCCAGCCCCTTACAAGTGCACACATACAACAGGGTGCCCCTCCCCAGTGCACATATACAACAGGGTGCCCCTCTCCAGTGCACAATGCAACAGGGTGTCCCTCCCCAGTGCACACATGCAGTAGGGTACTCCTCCCCAGTGCACACATGCAACAGGGTACCCCTCCCCAGCGCACACATGCAGCAGGATGCCTCTCCCCAGCACACACATGCAGCAGAATGCCTCTTCCCAGGCCCATGTGCAGGGTGCCTCATCCTTTGACCAGTGTGAAGTAGGATGTCTTCTCCAAGGGCCTATATACAGTTGGGTTCCCCCTCCACATACAGTAGGGGCTCCCCTCCCAGGTCTGAATGTGTCAGGATGCGCCCCTCCCGGGGGCCACAGATGGCAGAGCACGTATGTAGCAGGTTGTAATTACTGTCCATAAAAGGACTGATGAGCAGGGCGGTGGTGGCACGCGCCTTTAATCCCAGCACTTGGGAGGCAGAGGCAGGTGGATCTTTGTGAGTTCGAGGCCAGCCTAGTCTACAAGAGCTAATTCCAGGACAGACTCCAAAGCCACAGAAAAGCCCTATCTCAAAAAAACAAAAACAGGGGGGGGGATGACGATCTGAGATAACCTTTATTTTATTTTATTTTATTTTCAATCAGGAGTCTTCCTGCGATGGGATGATGTAAGCTGGGACAGTCCCTCAAGGACATCGCAGGAAGTAGGAGAGTTGGTCTCGTTGGGGCCCCCATTTCCCTAGGGTACTGCGGAGGAGGGAGAACACTGAATTACTGTTAAGACACTGTTGATAAGATTCCATGGTAAGCATCCTTTGCAAGGCTTTGTTTCCTGTAAACTAATGTCATTTCATTCCAAGACTGACAGATGTTGACTACTTCTCTGAGGCCCTGGCCATCTTGAGCAAAGGACTACCAGGTAAGCGGTCAACTGGACTGGCCTCATGCCAGCAAAGTAAACACTCCTGGACACCTTGAGGAAGCTACCTGGCAGTCACAGCCACTTGCTAACGGAGAGTAACGCCAGCCCCAGAAGGCACTGTTTCGACTCTGACTGGGCCGAACAGTTTGTGCAGGACTTGGTGAACTCCAGATGACCCTGCAGCCATTTTCACCCAGTCCAGAGGGCTAACATTTTGGTGCAGCAGAAAGCCTGTGATCAGTACCAAGAAAGTCCTCTGTTCCTTCTGTGTGGCCCCTGGTTTTGTAACAGTCAGACCAATAAGTAACTTTTCTTTGGAAGTCTATTTTTGGGCCTTATCAGTTAATAGAATCAGCAGGGAACATGAAGAGGACACTGGGACAGCAGCTACAAAGGCAGTACCTGAGGGACAGCCGCAGCAAGCAGCAGCCATGGCAAGAGCAGACCCAGAGGAGAGCTGAGGCGTTCTAGAGAAGGGTTGCGGCAGAAATGACAGGGAACAAGAGCAACAGAGTCCATGAGGAATGTCAAGAGCTGAAGATGAGAAACTGCAAGTCCTGATCGTTGGGCAAGTTCAAGGGAGCTGCCCAGGGTATGAACAAAACATCTTACTGCAGGCCAATTGTCATGGCTGAGAAGCCTCGCACTCCGGGCTATAACGTCATTCTGACAGGGTGGAGGGTTCCCGCGCCTGTGGCCTGTAAGAGACCAGCAACAGAAAGGGGTGCTACCTGCTGCTTTCTGTTGCCCTTCGGTGTTGCTGAAGTCTAAGGGTTACAATAGCTTCCAAGTGCCAGGGCAGTTAACGCCCAGAGTAATACGCCTCAAACCTGAGTGTCGAGTCCCCAAAGCCTAAAGCCGTAGGTCCCTCGCACTCAGGGCCAGCAACTGTAAGTCTCTAGGTTCATCAGTCTAGTCTGTAAGTCTTGAGCACTCCAGGGCCCAAAACAGCCAGTACCATGAACGTCTTACCTACCCATGATTCCTCTCTGGGTAGAGCAAAGGGATCACACCCAGATGACGGGTGACATCTTCACTTACATGTGCCTACATTTCCTAATAGGATCTCATTCACAGTTTCTGCATAGGTACACTCTGTTGGCAGACATATCCGTACTTTGGGCTGTTAGACACCCCATACTCTGAAGTGGGCAGGGAGAAGACTCCCGAATGAGCCGAACCTCTCTAGAACCCTCTGTGGTGAAGGTAGGAGTGGGATCCAGGGCCCGGGCCAGACACCATCTGGGAAGATGGAGCTGAGACATAGGGCTGCGAAGAATGACTTAGAATAACAGTAACATGTTCTGTCTTCGTTCTAAAGGCCAGAAGTCTCCCCTGGGGCCACTGCAGACCTAGGGTGCGGGGGGGTGGGGTGGGGGGGGGGAGAAACGTATCCCTCCTAGCTCTTCCTGGTTCTGGCGGCTGCTGGCAGAACTTGGTACACAGACCTCAGGCAGAGAGTTCAGAATGTCCAAGGGATCAGAGTTCAAAAGTCAACGTTTCTTTTTGTTGATCTTTAAAAGCTGCAGCCAAGGCCTGGGCGGTGGTGGCACACGCCCCTTTAATCCCGACACTCAGGAGGCACAGGCAGGTGGATCTCTGAGTCTGAGACCAGCCTGGTCTACACAGTGAGTTCTTGAATGCTCAGGACTACACAGAGAAACCGTGTTAATAAATAACTAAATAAAATCTGCAGCCAGAGCCATGCTAAAGACCTTTCAGCCCCAGGCTTGGGTCCTTCCTCTAGGTCTGGTGAAGGTCATCAACACTCATAATCTCCAAGGAGGTCCCACCTTCTATTGCCGCACGCCCTCTTCTGTTCCCGCAATTGTTTTTTCCACAGAAGCGGCACAATAACCCGAAGCCTGTCGGTGATGGAAAGACCTCGGAACAGTGCCAGCACCTTCTCAGTGGCTGTTGCACCTCACTGTCATCATGCTGAGCCCTACTGGTGCTGTCTCCTCTCCCCAGTCTCCATCAGCATCCACATGTGAGGTCCCAGCTGCGCAAGCATCACTACCACAGTGAGGGAATTTCCTTTCCAGTCAGCTGACTCTGCTCCTGGAGACTTCCTCTGGAGCCGGCAGGCAGGGACGCTCACCCAATCGCTGGAGTCGACCACTATCAAGATTGTCTCCTGGCAGCCCAGCTTCTTTGACTCTCACCACTTAAAGGTCAAACGCTCGCGGCAGGAGCTCAGTAACCCCACTGATAAATAACTGCCTGGCAAGTTGGCTTCATGTGGGCCCCCAAACACAGCGATTGTCTCTAATTCCCCTGGACACGGAATATTGAGCAGGGAGCAATATGGGAGGACTGTTTTAGAAAATAGGGAGAGGGCTGATGAAGGCGGTGCCTCCACCTCCTTCTCAGGCAGTAGACCAGCTTTCCGGGCCACCAGAAATATAGAAGATAAATAGAATCTCCTTTCTGCCTCCCTCACTCCACATCATAGACAAGAAAACTGAGACTCTAAGAGGCCCAGGGGACAGACCTGACAGGGACAGACTGACCCTGAGTAAGGCTGGTAGCAGCTAAGATGACAGACCTGGGAGGAGGAGGCAATGGCCTCTGCTTCAGTGTTTGTCATACCTCCTAGGAAGAACCCCATGGTCAGGATACCAGGGGCAGACATACAAAGGAGTAAGAGCCTAGGAAGGGCAAAGAGGGCCACCAGAGCCCCTGTGGCCCCTAAGGACTGCAAGGCAGACCAGAGCCCCAGTAGCAAGCAGCGAGTTGGGGGCTTCCACACTCACCATCCCCGGAACACCTGATCACAGTTCTCTCCCCACCCATGGCCCATGCCCAGCAATCTTCTAAATACGTCACATGAATTGCACCTAATTAGTTTATACTCCTGACAGTCCTGGTATCACCAGGATAAGGAAACAGTAGCACAGAGAAGCTTTGGTATCCATCTAAGGTCACAGCCGGCAGGTGGCAGAGCCAGGACATTGCACAGGCTACCCAGCTCCAGAAGGCTGGGACCATTCTTTCTCCCTGCCCCTGGCATCGAGGGCGGCAGCGGTAGATGACAACGGTCTTCCTTTCCTTTGTCATCCTGCATCTGCCTTGCACATCACCAGCCTTCAGAAGGGAGTGTTGAATGCACAGATGGGCAGCTTTGTTATTTCTGTCCATCAAGTGCTTCCAAGTCTCACTGAGCTTGAGTTGAATGCCCTCAAAGGCCCCCCAACATCTTCCCTCCTGCTTGAGCAGTCTGCTTCCTTGATGAGGTCTTGAGCCAGGGGTGGGGACAGTCTCGTGAGTGTTGACAACTTGTCTGCACCCTCCATAGTCACTCCTTCCCCTTCAAGGCTGAGGCCTCTGTAGACACTCTAGCCCCAGATACAGCACCTGCAACTGCGTGCCTATGTGCATGCCCACGTGAGGCCAGCACCTATTGCATACATATTGCATGAGGCCAGGTACACAGAGGGGTGGAGAAGCTGGCCTCTCCACCAGCTGCTCTCTCTCCTCAGCACCCTGGTTTCCTGGAATCAAGGGTGCCTCCTGGCACCCTGTGCCCCGGGTCTCAAGCGGGCCCGCTTCCTGCTTTGCTTTCTCAAGGCCCCCAGCGGGTGTGTCATGTCCCTGGGGTCGGAAAATGTCAGCAGAGGGGCTGTCCCAGGGCTGACATGGGGTCAGGCTCAGAGTCTCTGGTGAACTTAAGTTTCATCGACACCCTCCCTGCTCACTAACTCACTGTGGCAGAGTGTGTGGCAGCATCCTATTGGGTCTCAGAAGCCGTCACTCTTGCCTCAGGTTCTTGCCACATATCCTGAGATACTCGTTGGTACCTGCTTTAAAGAGCGTTGACAATCTGGGCCTGTGGCAGTGTCACTGATCACCCCGGTTCATACCCTTTCTCTGCAGTATTCTAGCTGTGTGACCCGGAGGGAGCCATCAGATCACTCTGAGTTCAGACCTCATCTGTAAAATGGGATGAAAACAAAAAGCAATAACAGCACCACAGGGCACATAAGCGAGGCTGGAGCACATCAGCACCACAGGGCACATAAGCGAGGCTGGAGCACATCAACAACACAATGCTTAGAGCAGAGTCTCCAGACGAATTGCCTCAACTCAAAGGAGGAACTCACAGGGCCTCCCAGAAACGGGAATTCTGAATGGGGTTCTGAAGGATCTTTAGGAGTCTGTGAGTGGATTGCTTGAGTACAGGAATGTTTCAGCCTCAGAGATCAGCACATGGCAATGGAAATCAGTTATGTTCTCGTTTGTCTCGGTTTCCTCATCTGCAAAATGGGAAACAAGGCCCTCTTCTTAAGGCCATGAGAGGCGAAATGTTTCTTTGGTGGGAGTAGAAAGAATTAACTGGTTTGCATTTATTTATCTATCTATTTATCCAATCAAATTTATTTATTCATTCAAATTTATTTGTTTATTTAAATTTATTTGTTTATTTTGGAACAGGGTCTTGTCCTGTAGTTCAGACTGACCTGGAACTCACTATATGAACCAGGCTGGCTACCTTCAAACCTGAGAGCCGCCTGCCTCAGGACCCCTGTGCTGAGGTTCAGGATTGAGGCACAATACCTGCCTCTAACACGCTTTGGTGTTTTGGTTTTGCTTTCGCTTTTTTGGGGTTTCCTCTGCTGAGCATCACAAAGAAGAAGGCAGGGCTGGATTTTTGTCTTTGACTTGAACAAACTATTTCTACCATAATTCACCTGAAAACTTGGGCTCTGGAAGTTGCTTAGATCAGAGATGCGACCTGGGGAATGAAGGTACAGGCCAGGCTAACAAGAACACAGGAGAGGCCTGAAGCCCCTCCCCTCCTTCCCTTCCTTGAACCCCAAGTTGCTCCCAGCTGCTTCCTGCTCCCCACTCTGCACCCGAGGCTCTCCAGAGCCTGGATGGGGGTACCTGCTCTCCAGCTGGTGCCTTTGCCCTGAAATATGACCCTGGGAATTCTGGCACCCACTTCCCAGCACTACCCTGCCAGCTGCTCCCTCCTGGCCCCTCTCCCAAGATCTCCCTAGGACACGCAGTGACACTGGCTCACGGTTCCTTCTCCACCTGGCATATGGTGGCTCCTTTCTCCACCCAGAGCCAGCACGGGTCTCTCACCAGACATGGGAACAGCTGGGCTTCTGGGCCCCTTGCTCTTTCATTGCCCTCTCAGCTTTCCGGGCTGCATCACCTCAGCATCTGCTCTCCCTGCCCAGAGAGTCAGCCAGGGAAAGCGATGAGCTCACTTTGTAGAAGGAAACAGAGATGCAGCGTAACCCAGACATGTCACTAGGTGCCAGCTCTCATCATTTGGGCCTGCCCCAGAAGCAGACCTGCAGAATCTAAAAGCTGCATGCAGCCTCTGGTGGAAGAAAGGCTGTAATTAAGGATTAATGCCTGCCATGCACAGGTGTAATTGGTTAGCAGTGTCTGCCCTGTATAGATGCGATTGATTAGAAATATCTGCCATGTATAGGTGCAATTGACTGGCAGTGTCTGCCATGCATAAGTATAATCAATATAGGTGCAATTGATTAGCAATGTCTGCCATGCATAAGTATAATCAATATAGATGCAGTCGATTAGCAATGTCTGTCATGTATAAGTATAATCAGTTAGAAATGTCTGCCACGTGTGCAGCTTTATGAATGCTAGAGATTGTCCACTATTGTTTGTCAAGACACTGCAAAAATCCTGATAGTTAAAAAGTGATTATTAAGAGACACCCACCCACCCACACACACACAAAGACACAGAGAGAGACAGAGACAGAGAGAGGCAAATAGATCAATGGATGATAGATCTATCCATGATCCATTGGATCACTTGCCCAAGGCTGGATGTGAGAGGTTGGTGCATATTTGTGCACAGAAACCTGATTCCTATCAATGACAAAGATGTTCTTAACAGCCATGTTTTGTTCACGGAGAAGATTTCTCTATGTTTCCAGCAGCATCACCCTTCTAGGTTGAGATGACAGACTTTCAACAGCAATGAAACAAATACCATCCCTTTCCTCTTTCTCTTGCAGCTCCAGGGATGGAACCAGCAAGGCTGTTCTCGCCACTAGGCTCCACACTCAGATCAGATCCACACATTACATAGTCTTATGGTGCCTGCTTTTTACAATTGCCTTTTATTTATAAGAAAATTTTTCCAGCCACAGAAGTGATATGATTTAAAAAATCTTTAAATAAATGTGTTTAAGCAAACAAACAAAATGAATGTGTTTTAAAAACGTCTCAGGAATTCATTGCAAAAATGCCACACACAGATCATGAAAAGAGAAAGAACCAAATCCTCCCCAGACCTTTTCAGACAGTGGAAATAAGTTCTTTTTCTGTGTGGGAACTAAAGCAAGAGAATTCCAAAGGTTTACATTTGCTCGGGATACGCAGTCAATGGTGTGGGCGCAAGTGCAGGTCTGATTCATCGCTGAGACAGGAGGATGGCCACACACAGCATCCTGTGGCAGGAGGGGGTGTGTGGAGTCTCACACAGAAGAAGCAGGACATCTGACCCCTGGCAGGCAGGAAAACTCTTGCATAAGAACTGAACACCTTCTGCATTGGCTCATCTCTTCTTGCTAAGCTTAGGGGCCTTGTATTAGGGGCCAGGACATCTGATTGAGAGATAATCTGATTGGTTAGATCAGGCCCAGCCTCTGTGACAGACTTTCTGTGCCCAGGCTGCCTGTCAACCTGTGGTCTGGCCAGCCAGTCAATGCATAGTGAGCAGGAACCATGAGGCAGGCACTGTGGGTAGGGCATCCACTAGCTAGGTCTGAGTTTCTGCTTCCCTCAGCAGGTGGAATCTGATCACCATGGTGCCATCAACCCTGGGACAGTGACAGACACTGAGGCTCTGCGCTGGAGGAGCTGCCTGTAGAGAACAATGCTCTCCTCTGAAGGTGAGGTGGTATATCCAGGCGTGCCATCCTTGCCTGGACCGCTGGGACCTGGGGCTCAC